GTTTATAAGCCGTACTTTTTCAGCCAATGAATAGTATTTTTCTCTCACACCAAATTAGCCAACAGTACTTTCAGCCATGATTTATCAGCCATACAAGATCAAACGAACCAGACGATAGCCAATTGTTCCCTGGAATCCTTGCGGGACGTTTGCCTTCGTTGATCCAATCCGTGCACTAGCTGCAGATTCAACGCATGCATGTATAGTCCTATTCCTAGGCTGCAGCTGCAAAGCAGACCATGGTGACTAGTAAGGCCTCGTTTGGTACGAACTCACGAACAGACGATTGAAACACGGTTCATACGCGTGTCTGCCCAAGGAGAGGCTCCCAAGCGTTTTTTTAGATACTAGTGCCCCGAAGTCTGGATAAAAACACACGTCCGGGCTCCTAAGCGTTTTTTAGATACAAGTGTCCCGACGTCTGGATAAAAGCACCAGATAAAGATTATATTTTCTCCTCTAATTTAGAATGAAAGCACAATCTTAATTGATGAAATTTAGAGGGACGCATTATGTGTCTATGTGTTTGTTGCAATTTAAACAAATTTATTTGTCCATGCTATTGCGTGCTACTTTGTTAATTTACTAATAGTGATGAAATTCTAGAAATAATTTATTTATTTTTTACATTCTGTTTGTAAATTATAGTATACATGAAAAAAAGGTGTGCTAGCACTAACACATTTGTATGGTGGGAGAAAGCTAACACTCGTATATTTGCATTATAAACCTTTTCTGTATGGAATACCCAGCGGCAAGATCCTGGTGCCGGCACCGCCCATGCTACGCCCGTCGCTCACGACAAAAGCCCAACGATAATACGCGTCCGCCGCAAAATTATCGTTACCCAGCGCGTGCTCGCCCGTGTGGCCCACACCGCGCACTCGCCCCTGCACACTCGCGGACATATGGCCGAACAGCCAGCTGAACGCACCTCCCTCGGCTGTCAACTGGGCCTACCAACGACCAAAACGGATCGGTAGAAAACGGCAATGCTCCACCGCCCTTGCCTCTGCAGCCTCTGCGATGGGTCCCATGCCGGGTGGCTGTCTCCAACACGCTCCCTCTGGTTCCCCCACTCACGGACACGCACACATGCATGCTCACCCTATTGCTCGCCGTGCCCTAGTCGCCCTGCTACTTCTCCCGCACCCTGCCGCTGCTCGTTCTCGCGCTGTTGCTTGCCTACGCCTACTCTCCCTGTTGCGCCCCCTGGCACTCGCCCACCCCATGGGGACCGTCTATGCCTCATGAAATACTTGTAGCATGGAGGACTTGTTGTAACATACGTATAAAATAAATGAAATATTTAGAACATACGCTTGCAACATATGTGTAGCCACTGCAACATATGCAACATTCAGATAAAACACTTGCGACATACGTCTGAAACAACTGAAATATTTGAAAAACACACTTGCAACATACTTCTAAAAACAACTGAAACATTTGGAACATATACTTACAACAAATGTGCATAGCCATTGCAACATATACAACATCCAGTTAAAACACATGCAACATTCAAATGAAACATCTGAAACATTTGAAACATGCGCTTTCAGTGCCATGTTACCTTGCTCCTTGGACGAACTGAGGCTGCACATGCAACTCGCTGGTGCGCCAGTAGAGTGGCGAGCGCTGCATGACCCTGGCAAGCACCTGCTCGGCGGCATGGGCGCTAGGCCGCAACACCCCTGGGCGAGCACCTGCTCGGCGGCCTTGAGACCACATGTGGGAGGCCGAAGCACCCCTTGCGAGCAGGAGGGTAGGGCGGCGCGAGCACCTGCGGCTGCGCGTGGCGTGGGCCTGCGCGTGAGGCAAAGGCGAGCACGCACGGGCGAACAAAAACAGCTGTACGCGCTGCCATGCGTGGGGCCAACCGCCGCGCGACTATGTGCAGGGGCACGCATGCGCGCGTTTCCGGCGCCGTTCTTTCACGTGGGTCAGAGGGTGCTGCTAGCCGTCCGTCTGGACATGAGCATTACCTACCGGGGTCTTCGTCGTTTACCTGCCCGCCCGCCATATACCCCAGCGAGGCAGCGATCACCGCATACAGCTTGATCACCTTCCTTCGCGGTGATCCTTCCCAGTTCTGTGTCTGCAACACGGTCATGGGGTGCTTGCATCTCGGCTAGAAATAGGTCAAAAAATGGAAATGTACCGGGTTTTTGGTGTTCTTGCCCCTTATTTTGAAGTGCAATTGTGATTTTGTCCTCGTTTTTCTAACTTTGTGATTTTGCCTTCACTGCTAGCAAGTCAATGCGATTTTGCCACTGGTCTTTGTGAATTTGCCCCTGTTTTGACTTTTGACTAGGGGCAAAATCGCATGGACTTGCTCGTAGTGAAGGGCAAAATCACAAAGTTAGAAAAATGAGGGTAAAATCACAATTGCACTTAGAGGCAAGAACACAAGAGCCCCCTTGTTATTAGGATCCAAATATCAGTATAATGCTACTCTATTAAATAAATAAATTTGTCGATCGTAAATCACTATAAGGTTATTTCTTTATCTTGATGTTTTCTGCATAATAGTAAAGTATTATTCTGATGATTGACAACATCAAATGAAATGTTACCTTCATGTTCATTTGGAAGTTTTCTTCACTGATGTCACCTTGTACCCCATCCGGCCTTGACCTCTAAAATAGTGCCCCTTGGTCTTCTAGTCAACAGCCTTCAGCAAATCCTTGTTGTCACTGACAGGTACCAGGCGCTGAGCTTCCTCGCTCTCTGGCATGGTTCTAACGTCAAGGTAGGTAGAGTGGTGCTGCTGCACTTCAAGCAAGGAAGAGGCAGCTGACCTCCGAGCCCACATCAGCCTAGGCAAGCTCAGCAGTGATTGCTACCACGCCACTCCTACCTTGGCAGATCGCTACCAAAATGGCAAGGATCTGCAGTGATTTTGTGCACATGATAATATACATCAATAAAAAAACCATGCCCTTTATCTTAAATTTTGGATGCTGTGCATTGTTTATGAGAAATATGACCGTGGAACTCAGGAGAAAGAACTGCCCTACCTTTTCAGAACCACACTCTGTACTGGCATGTTGTCTTCCTCTACTGCTCCACATTTGCATTTGGTCTAGCAATCTCACTAAGCAGCCATCTGTATTCTGAAACACTCAATCATGGCAATGTAAGTAAGGATAGATTATTGGGTTTGCTACCATGGTATGCAAAATAGTATTTTACATAAATTTGATATGTTAATTCAGAGTATTTCAAGACATGCAAGACAATACCTTAGCAGTGAAATACACAAAGCATCTCCAATCACAACTATGCCTAAATATATGGCATAGACTAACAAACAAAACAATTTCTCATCTTTAGCAGTACTGTAGGTAACAATAGCTCATCTCCAACATTGCATTATCCTAGGCTGTATACAAATCGGAGTGAGGGAGAGGAAGGCCTCACCTTGACGGGTGGCAGGACTGTAGGGGGGGGTGTCGGCAGCCCTAGTGCTGATCGATGACGAACGGTGGCAGCGGGTGGGGGGATGAGATCCAATGCCTCTTGTTGTTTGGCCATGCTCTTCTCGCAACCTTCATCAGTGGCACCAGATCCGAGAGATCAGTAAGAAAGAGAAGTGAAGATAGATAAAAAAATTGCAGCAAGACCTCACCTCGGACCGCTTGTGGGCCGAGACGTCAAGCTCCATCGCCACGCTGAGGACCCAAGTGCCACCGTGGATTCCGCCATAGATCCCACCGCCTCGCCAAGCAAAAGAGACTGCCCCCGCGCGTTGTATGGAGGAGGTCGACGATCTGTGGATGCGCTCGTGGAGGAGGCGGTAAGTGGTAGCCATGCGCGCCATAGGTGAGGGGTCCACTTGCTCTCCCACGCCCTAGAGGTCATCCGGCTTCCCATGCTCAAGCGACGACAAGTGCTCGTGCTTGCGGCATGGAGGCGGGGCGGGAGGAGAGAGAGAGGAGGAGGAGGCCGCCGCCTCCTCCTCCGCCGACCATGACCACCGTGGGGCTCGATAAGGTTCGCTGATCAAGGCCTCCGGATTCACAGCGTGCCTCTGCGCCCATCAGCATAATGAGGGCACGAACTTCCTTGCTCGAGCGATAACCGTGGTGGAGGCTGCGAGGGAGGAGACGAGGAGGAGGGGAGGAGGTGGTGGTGGGCGGCAAGGCAAGGGGAGAGAGAGAGAAAGAGAGAGGGATCGGGAGGTCAGGCCAGGCTGCGGTGCGGGGTGGGAGAGGGGGGTTTCTGTAAAGTTGCGAGGGTGTTTTCGAAATAACGACTCGATTTTAGAAATTTACCTTCTTTGCGTTACTTTAGGGGTCTATTCGAAACATATCAGAACATGTTTACTATTCTGGGAGGACGAGTTGGACGGCGGGTTTATTTTCTAAAGCTCAGAGGGCCTTTATGTAAAACGTGTGAAGACGCGTGTCAGCACATGGATGAGCCACGGATGCTCGAATTCTGTGGTGGCAGCGGACTCACGCGGGTTTTAACAGCTTCCGATAAGGCACCACTATGGAATGATCTTCTTTGATGTACTACTCTAAACAATTAAGCCATCAGTAATAGTACCAAACCCTTCTTTCGGGACATTGTCAATTGAACCAGCTCAACCCATGTCATAGTGATCGAAAAAGTAGAAAACAATCAAAAGGACAAGCCGCACAAGTGATAGAAGCATGTGAACTGAAAGAACAAGTGATATTTCAAAGGCAGGTCATGAGGCTGATATATACTCATCTCTGTGACTCGGTCTATGTGAATAAAACAAGTTACAAGTGAGCGAAAAAAAACCCTCTCTACACAAAACATCCTCGCTTCTTCAACTCATGCTTCTTTCCAATCACCTCCACCCTCTCTGTTAAAGATTGTATCCTCCAGTATTGCATGTTACAAGTTTATATAAATCACACACATATTGTACAACACTGTACAAGTGTCTCGATGAGACACAAGAGTTCCAAGCTCGTTATTGTTTGAACGCTGGAACCGACCGACCGATCTGGCAAATCAATTTACCTGTCAATCCCCTCAATCTTGTCTTCAACCTCCGAGTAGAGCTCCCGGAGCCTGTCCAGGCTCTCCTCCGATGTCTCCCAGTAGCCTCTGCCACTGGCTTCCAAGAAGGTCTGCACCAGCTTCCTGAACGAATTGGGGTTGGTCTCCATGAGCCTCTTCCTCATCGCCTCGTCTTCGATGAACGTGGAGTTGGCCTCCTCGTAGACCCAGTTGTCGACCTGCCCAGACGTCGCACTCCATCCAACGGTATTGGTGAGCCGCTTCTCGATCTCCCTGACCCCCTCGTACCCGCTCTTCATCATCCCCTCGTACCACTTGGGGTTCAGCAGCTTGGTCCTCGCGTCGAGGCGCACCGTCTCCGACAGCGTCCTCACCTGGGCGTTCGCCGTGGTGGTGTCGGCTATGTACGATGACGGCGCCCGGCCGTCCTTGCGCAGGCCCTGCACGAGCTTCGTCGGGTCCGAGTCGAAGTAGTGGCTCACGTCCGTCAGCGAGATCTCCGACGAGTCGAGGTTCTGGAACGTGGCGTCCGCCGTCGCCAGAGCGAGCTCGAACGCCTTGCGCTTCTCCTTCATGTCTGCCCCCGGAGCGTCGCTGTCGAACGCGAACGACTTGCGGCTCAGGTACATGTCCTGGAGCTGCTTCTCGTCGGTCCATGACGCGTTCTCCACCGCCAGGTTCACGTTGGACGAGTAGGAGCCTGATGCGTTCGAGAACACCCTTGTTGCCGCCTCTCTCAGCGAGACGCCGAGCTCCTCTGCCTGCTCCTGCGCATGCTTGCGCACGTAGTTCATCTCTGCTGGCTCGTCCAGTTCGGCGACCATCTTCACCGCCCGGTCCAGCAGGTTCATCTGCAGGCATTGCATTGTTCCATGAGTAAATTATTCGGTTCAATCAGTGCAGTAATGTATCTATGCAAATTATGTACAAAGATCAAAGGCACTGATGTTTGAATTCATACCTGGTTGATGAAAAGGTCTCTGAAGACACCCGAGCAATTGACGACGACGTCAATCCTTGGACGTCCAAGCTCCTCGAGGCTGACAGGCTCCACACGGTTGACACGGCCGAAGGTGTCAGCAACTGGCCGGACACCAATCATCCACAGCACCTGGGCCAATGACTCGCCATAGGTCTTGATGTTGTCGGTGCCCCACAAGACAAGTGCAACTGTCTCAGGGTACTTGCCGCCATTGTCGGCCTTCTGCCTCTCCAGGAGACGGTCGACGACGATCTTGGCGCTCTTCATGGCAGCTGTGGTTGGGATGGACTGTGGGTCAAGAGCATGGATGTTCTTCCCTGTCGGGAGCACCTTCGGATTCCGGATCGGGTCACCGCCAGGGCCAGGCTCCACATAGCTTCCGTCGAGGGCGAGCTTCAAGCTGCCCAGCTCATTGTCTTGCACGACGAGCTTCAAGCACTCACCCAGGAATCCAAACAGAACCCTCAGCTTCTCTCTGTCTGCCCTGATGAACTTGGTCGTGGACAGGTACTGCACCCATGGTTCCGACAGACCGAAACCAAGTATGTTACTGAGGTTGTTGGCAACATTGACGACTTGCCCTTTGCTGTTTGTGGTCTTCTCAACAAAGGCGGTGATGGCGCCACGCGAAGCTTCAGTTATCTGCCTCAAAAGCTCGACGTCAGCCAGTATGCCCTTGTCACTTCCCCTGTACACATCTTCAATCTCCCTGCCCACTGTGGCAGCAAGTATGCCGGGCAGTGAGGTTATGCCATCCTCCGGGCGGTCAAGGGCAGCTATGTTCACCAGTGTGGCCACAGCCTCGATGGCGCTCGGTGGCTCGCCGATCACATGTAGACCACAGGGAAGGAGCCGTGACTCTATCTCCATGATCTTGGCGTACACCTTTCCAACGACCAGGTCACGTTCATTTGGTGGGAGCTCCTCCCCTTCCTCGGGCAGTGGGACATCCTTGTCAAGGTTGCACTGCTTTGCGGTGCTGATGATTGAGCTCACAATCTGAGTACCACGCCCGGTGTCCTTGAGAGACTGGTAAGAGGAGATGAGCTCTGACAGCTGCTTGAGCCCCTTGTAGAGACCGGCATTCTCAGCCGGCGGGGTCAGGTAGCTGATGGTAATTGCATAGCTCCGGCGTTTGGCAACTGTGGCCTCTGATGGGTTGTTTGCAGCATAGTAGTAGATGTTGGGGATGTTGCCAATGAGACTGTCAGGGTAGCAAGCATCACTCATCCCAACCTGCTTGCCAGGCATGAACTCCAGGGACCCGTGTGTTCCAAAGTGCAGAACAGCATCGGCCTGGAAGATCTTCTCAACAAAGGTGTAGTATGCTGCAAAGCCATGGTGAGGGCTGGCAGACTTTGAGAACAGAAGCCGTGATCGGATCGCCTTTCGTACCCGAAAGTGGGCTGCACTCCGATGAAGACATTGCCATACTGCTTCCCATAGACAAGGAGGTTCTCGCCATCAGAGTTGAGGTGCCCAGGTGGCTTCCCCAGTTCTCCTCCAGCAAGGAGGCATAGGAGGTGAGTGCCTGGTACTCCCGCACATTCATCCGGTAAACCACATTCAGGTTGGGGCTGTTGAATTGAGCCTCCTTGTCATGGATCACCTCCTCGATGAGGGCTTCAGGTGTGTCTGGGAGACCCTCAACGTTGTAGCCGTCCTTCTTGAGGTCTGACAGCACAGAGTAGATGGAGTTGAACACATTCAGATATGCTGCAGTCCCCACGTTGCCCTTGTCAGGTGGGAAACTGAAAACAGTGATTGCCAGTTTCTTCTCCTCCTGGAAACAGGCAGACAGACAAAAGAAAAGGTTAATTTTGGAACTTATGCATACAGGGACTGATTGCTCAGTATTCAGTAACAGTATTTTTCAGCTGATGAACAGCATGTCATGAAAGTGCAGAGCTTTTAGTCTTTCACTAATGAAATGGCCACATCGATGGAAACAAGAATTGCGCACCCAAAGTATTGAATTCTGCCCTTTTACTATAGATTCTTCATTTTGAAAGATTTGGCCTTGAGTAAGTTGGAAGCTATAGATTGTCATCTAGTATAATTTATTAATAATGGGATGTCTTGAGAATATTATTATCATAGCAAGCTTGTGGCATTGCGTATCTATGAAAAACAAAAACTTCAGTTATGGTTTTCAGCTCAACAACTTCACTATCAAACTGAAATCTATGATATAGTAGCAGGATTGAAGCATTTCGTACTATCACCGTTGGTTAATTAACATGTAACCTAGAATGACATTGGTCTAGAGTATAACAAATTCTTCGTTTCCAGTAGCCTTCAGCTTGACTAGTGAAGTAACAGAGCTAGTATGTTCAGTTAACATGTGGAGGCTTTTACCTGTGTGCCATTATAAAAGTTGATAATTATCTATAGGCCATTAAAAAAGTTGAGTTCTCACAGGTGCCACTGCTGTGAACTCTTTTGCCCTCCATGCCACTTCCGTCAAATTTGGCTCTAACGGTGTCAAACCGCGATTGTGAAAAGTCCAAAATACCCTCAGGTCTGAATATGCAATTAATTTTTTTGGGCATCTTAATGACCTCAAATGAAAAAACTCAAAACTAGAAAGTTGTAGATCTCGACAGTATCTACAATTTTTGTATAAAAATTATCTTCATTTAATTTAGTAAAAAAATATGATTTGATATAATTAATGTCTTAGAAAAATCACATTTATTGTACGGAATCAAATGAAGATAATTTTTATAAAAATATTGTAGATCTCGACGAGATCTACAACTTTCTAGTTTTGAGTTTTTTCATTGAGATCATTAAGATGCTAAAAAAATTAATTGCATATTTAGACCTGAGGGTATTTTCAACTTTTCACACCCGTAGTTTGATACCGTTAGAGCCAAATCTGACAGAAGTGGCGTGGAGGGCAAAAGAGTTCAGAGTAGTGGTACCTATGAGAACTCAAGTTTTTTAATGGCTTGTGGGTAATTACCAACTTTTATAATGTCACACAAGTAAAAGCCTCTAACATGTAATCTAGGGTTTGGGGGGGGGTGTTTGCCAAAATTAGAGCTGTAACATTTCTCTACTCTGTATTACTCCTAGAATTTGAGAGAGGGGGGATTGCTGCCAAAATTAGAGAACTAATAAGAAGTATACAGTAACTTTGTGGGAACCACAGGCACACCTTAGTTTTCCTCTTCAGTTGTGCCCATCTGATGGCTCTAGTGCAGAGCTGCTCCACTCTCTTGTGCAATGCATGTGATTTCCCTGCATCAAGTTCATCACAATTCAGATTAAGTACAGGTGTCCCAGAAATTAGAAAAATACAGACATATGTTGTCGGGGAATGAGAGAAATGGAATGGGGCTTGCCTGTCCTGGGGTCCCGGCCGGCGAATACGATGGGCTCCATCCCACCGTCGAGCTCCGGCAGCGCCACCTGCAGCGCCACCTGAATGGGGTGAAGCCCCAAGGTGCTGTTGAGCCACTCCTCCGTGGTCTGGAACACGAGCGGGAGCGCGACAATGTACGGCACGTCGAGCTTCTGCAACGCTGCAATGGCCTTGGGGGTGGTCCTGCCTCGCCGGCCCGCCGACGAGCGCGAACCCGGTGAGAGACACCACGGCGTTCACGAACGGCTTGCCGGTGACTGGGTCGACCAGGTAGCGCTGGGTGGGCCCGGAGAAGTCGAGGCCGCCGGCGAAGATGGGTATGACCTTGGCGCCCCTGGCCTCGAGCTCCATGATGACGGCGACATAGTGCCCGTCGTCGCCGGTGACAATGTGGCTCCTCTGCAGGACGAGGCCGATGACGGGCGCATTGGGGTCCTTGAGCTTGTCGTTGGCGTCCCGGCGCGTGCCGTACCAGTTGAGGTACTCCTTGACGTCCTCGTACATGGTGGGCGCCAGCGGGTGCCAGATGCCGGAGTCGAGGTAGAGCACGGGGTCGTCGTACTTGATGCCGGCGCGCCCTGAGCGCCGGCACGTAGGAGCCAGCGATCATCTTGAGGAAGTTCTGGAGGTTGTCCGGCGAGCCGCCGAGCCAGAACTGGAGGCTGAGGATGTAGCGCCTGGCGTCCTGCGCCTTGTCGGAGGGCAGGTACTTGAGCACCTTGGGCAGCGTGCGCACGAGCTTGAGCATGCTGTCGGCGAAGTTGCTGGAGTTGGACTTGTTGCGCTTGAAGAGCTGGAAGAAGGGGCTCTTGGACTGCCCCAGCTGCGACATGCTGAAGGAGCCGAGCTTGTTGAGGCGCATGACCTCGGGCATGGAGGGGAAGACGAGGACGGCGTCCATGCGGTCGCGCTCCTTCTCGACGGCGGCCTTGACCTTGAGCGCCAGCTCCTCGACGAAGATGAGGGAGCCGATGAAGACGTTGGCGTCGGCGAGGTCGGCGCAGAAGGTGGCGTAGGTGTCCTCGTCGCGGAGCTCCTCGACGAGGTATCCCACGACCTCGAACGCCGCGGCGCGGCGCGGGTCGGCGTTGAGCTGCTGCACGGCGGCCGTGATGGACGACTGGTACTGCGCCTCCAGCACGACGTAGACGACCTTGACCCGCGGCAGGCCCCGCGGGTCGGTCGGCACCACGCGCCGCACCTCGGGCTTGGTCTGCGTGAACAGGCCGTTGCCGCCGGCGACCGCGCACCGGATGGCGCCGGCGCCGGCACGGCGCGGCGGCTGGCGCCGGCTGCTCAGGAGGAACGAGTGCAGCGGCACGGGCGCCGCCAGGAGCTGCTTCTGCACCGCGGCGGCGAATGGCGTGGACACTAGGGACAACGACATGGCGTCTGCTCACAGGACGGAGCCGGCGGACGTAGAAACACACGCCTGGACACGAACGCGACGCTCGAGCTCAGTCAGTGAAAAAAATCTACACTAGAGTGAAGGCAAGAGAGTGGCTCGTGGCTGGAGGATTGTTCTCGGTGGCCGGCCGGCGCCTGTTCTTGGCGACCGCCGTCCCTCGGAAACAGAGCAGGGGGAAAGAAGGAGAAGAAGCGAGAAGGCGAGCGCGGGGAGCGGGAGAATATATAAGGTAGTCCGTGTCCTCGTCCGTCGTCTCCTGGCGGAGGAGAGGACAGGAGCGGCGGAGGGAGTGCCTCGGTGAAGGGGGAGGAGGATTTGGTGGCGGGAGCCGGGACACGATGGCGCTGACGGGGCGAAGGGAGATAGATGCCAGACCGGGCGCGGGGGAAGTGGGAAAGGGGGATGGCAATCGCCCCGGGGGCGCGCTGTGATTGGCCGCGGGGGATTCCGGGGGCGCCCGCGGCCGGAGGGAGGCGATGAGGCCGCGGATAAGCGGCGGTCGCTGTTGCGGCCCTGCGCGTGGCGCCGACCGCAACCACAGCCGCGGCGAGGGCTGAGGCCGGGTTGCTTTTCGCTTGGGCCGTGATATTTGCGGGGGCCAGACCAGGCCTCGGGTTCGTGGACGTGGAGGAAGCCTGGTGCTGGGCTCGGGCGGTGGCGGGCAGACTGGGGGCACGCGCCTGCAACCTGCCCGTGAGACAAGCGGACAAAGCAACACCGTCGCCTGCGCTTGTTTCACTTGGATTTTGGCTGGTTTCGGTTTAATTTATATACGAATGATTTGAATGAATATGTATCTTGGGTCGACCTCGCCTGAGCATGACTAGCGGACTAGGCGAGGAGTTGTGTTACCAGCACTACTACGACAAGGCCACAATCTGACTACTGATCATGGGCCTCGCAGGAGTACGCGCCACCGTCGGCCCAGTACTCTGTTGAGCGGCAACGAATGGATGTGAGCGTGCAAGTGCACGAGCGGGGAAGAGCCCATGTATTAATTCTTGCTGAGTATAGCAACTGGAAAGGGGAGAGGAAAAAAGTCAGAGCGAATACTGTAAGAAACAACCTACATTCATGAGCAACGATTTGCTCGATACATGCTATCAATCCTGTCCTCGCTATCTTCCTTTTGCCTCTACTTATTGTTTGTCTTCCTCGATTCCCAAATTCTCCATCCGAACCCCCCTTCCCCCAGCCTAGCTGTTGCTAACAATATTGATATCAGAGACACCGATTTCTCATCGTTCCTCTCGTGTCCATCGATTGTGACATGCCCCGTATGTAAATTGTGAGGTGTTATTGGGTTCACCCCATACAGAGGAGACGAAGAAGTGAAAAATGAGGCTTGGATAGCACCTTGAGATCGAGCCGGCTCAAGATCAAGTGTGGATTTGTTGACTTGATAGAGGAGCAATAATCCTTGGGATTACCTTAATGTGGATGTTGGTGACCGAGAACACCCCCGCTACCATGGGGTATATCTTTATGTCCTCCCTTGTGTGCCATCTCACTTGATCACTCTACTCTTACACTTTACATTGTGCTTACTCAATTACTATAGTAGAGGTATTAGGGTTTGTCATCCTAGGGAGTGAACCGAGCTAGTCTCTTCATTTCTAGTGACATAACTTGGTTCATAGCTTTGAGACTAGAATTGTGTACGTTGTTGATCACCCTAGGTTTGCAAACTAGCTAGAGTAGAATTATTAGTGCTTCGTTTGTATCTAACCTTTTATCTCTTATTTATGAGTTTGTAGAATTTTAATTTACACTATTCATCAATCTCTAGACATCCAAAGTTTTTTTTTCACCTGGGTGTGACATTAGCATCTACATTGGAGCTCTAGACCGTGATCATTGGACTCAAGGAGTGGCGGACGCCATGAGCCCAAGAGCTCAAGGTTCATATGCACTAGCTCCATTACTGAAGAGCAGGTGGGTGACGACATGCAACGTGACTCATGACTCATGCGAAACTCTACTTCCTCATCTATACAACTTCTCCATAATCCTCATTTGTTTTTGCGTATTGGTGTCGCTTGCGACTCTTTGCTAGTAGTGGTTCGATATGCAAATTTTCCCTTGCTATGATGACAGTGTTGTGGTGGAAAAGAAGACCATGGATAGAATTGCCAATTTCCATTGCAATCCATGTTGGCCATCCGAGTTGTCACGCCACATCAGCGAAAATACCACGACATTAGTATTCCTTCTTCCTCAGGTGACAAAAACATAAAAATATATTGCTACAAAAGCGTGGGCACTCCTAGGGATGGCAAAAGTTAACCATCATCCGCCCTCCTAATGGCTTGTTTGGATGCCCAACCACCTCAACACAAAATGGATTGAGGTGGATACCGAAGTATGTTTCAACCGCTTTGTCCGGACGACTCGATGACTTGGCCGTAACCTTTATAGCGATCAAATTTTTGCCGACTACGATCCCACTATTCGTGAGACCCTAGTGGCCCAAAGAAGAAGAAGCATATATCCGAGTCCAACGCCACCCCAAAGAATAGCAAATCTGCAATCCATCTACTCAAAGACATCCGATCCATCAAGGCCACATACGTGAATTGAGAAGGTCAAATGTTGCCTTGCTAGCTGGCCTCGATCCAAAGATCGGTGCGCACCCTTTTAGGTTCAGATATCATTGCATCGCAAATTTCCTGCGACCGATGTTGCCCCTAGCGCCGGCCGGCCCACCGCTCATTCTCTGATCTCAAGTTCTCCGGCTGTCCAACCCCCCTGGCATCTAGACAAGACAAGGTACCCCTCAAATACCCAATTATGCAAGCCTAAAGAGACTCCACCCTCGATAGACAGCCTTTGTAATAATGAAGCTAAGAACAAGTATAATAAAAAGGATGTAAGCAAGGTGTATGCTGAGGTAGAGGAGAGAGAGGAGAAGCGAGTTGTAAGCTTACAGCCGGCTTAGGCATAAGAATCAAGAAACTTTATAAGATAGACAAGTAGACCATATATTAATAGTAAAGAGTCAACTAGTATATGAATAGTGTTGGTGTTTCGAACCGGGGGGTCCTCAACCGACTAGTGAATTTGTTCTGCGTGCTCCCGATTCCGGATGGTGATGCAAAGAGACACAAGGTTTATACTGGTTCGGGCAATCGAGGCCCTACGTCCAGTCTGAAAGATCGATCTTGTATTCCTTGCACCGAGGTGCTCGTAGTAGGGGGTTACAAGCTAAAGGAGAGAGGGAGCTGGTCCCAGGTCTCGGCAGGGAGTCGTGCGGGCCGCTTGAGACGTTGCTCTCAGGCGGCAGGGATGTGTGTGTGTTACAAGGTTTTTTCCGCCCGCCCTAAGTGGCCCAAGTCCTCTCCTTTTATAGTTGAAGGGAGGACAAGGACCGTACATGTATTACTATGCGGCGTCGTGCCAATAGGGGTGGCACGTCCGAGCCCTGTGGCCTATCCCTGTGGTGGCGTGGTCGTCGGAGTGGTCCATCCTTGAGTATCGGGCGGCGTGGTCGCCCCATCGATCCCAGGTCGTGGGAGCCCCGGAATGCCTCGGAGTGGACGCGGGCGTAACGTGCAAGCCATCGTGGACGGATCGCGCGAGGCCGAGACTTGGTCGGTGCCGAGGCCGGCATCGGTGGGGGTCTCTGCAGCACGAACCCCAAGATCGCCGAGCCCCCCGTGCAAAATCTGCCGAGGCCTTGAGCGGGCGGCCAATCATGGGTATGCTGTTTGGACACAAGTGGTCGGTAATCCCCGTCGTACCCTGTCCCAGCCGGTATGGCGCTGATTGTGGACACAGTGGTAGGACACAGTGGTCGGTAATCCCCGTCGTACCCTGTCCTAGTTGGTATGGCGCTGATCGTGGACACAGTGGTAGGACACAGTGGCGATAGAATCCCTCGTGCTGCTCTGTCCCGGCCGGAGGTATGGCTGACATGCGACCTCGGGTCGCGTCGGCCCTCCTGTGGCGTTGAGCCACTGTCCGGCTGAGATTGCGGGAGTGGTTGAAGCATTAATGAGACATGACGAGTTGTCGGGAGGGTCGGCCGAGGTGGGGGGCGACGGACCGCGGATGAGCCGGCCTCGAGCGACATGAAGAATGAGGCCTCGCGCGAGACGGAGATCAGATTCCTTGCCGAGGCCTTGCGCGAGACGCCTCGCGCGATATGGAGAATGTACCCCTGCCGAGGCCTTCCCTGGAGAGCCTCGGGCGAGATGGAGACGGCGCCCCCTGCCGAGGCTCGGCGCCCCCTGCCGAGGCCTACCCTGGGGAGCCTCGCGCGAGGCGGAGTTTGTTCCGAGACCTCCTGCTCGAGGCTCGAGGCGAGGTGGAGGAGGGCTCGGTCATGGCAGGTGAGGGGCCCACGGCTTACCTTCTAGCTTTATTTTGATATTTGCTCGGGTACCCCATTCTAACGCACCCACAAAGAGCCCCGAGCCTTGGGGTGAGTGCGCGCACTCTCCCGAGGGTTCGTCGAGGTGGGTTTATGCCTGCTCCGTAGGAATTGGTTTGTTTTTCGAGGTTCCGGTGTGTGCTGTGGCACCTGGCCGGGGTGAATTTTGAGCCCTGGAGGAGTGAAGTTACTCCTCCAGGGGCTTTCTCCATTTTTGCGTTTGAGTGATCAGTTCTTATTGCATTTGCCGAGCCCATAAGCGCAAGTTTGGGTTGCGATGGGGTCTCGGCGAGGTTGCAAAAAAGGGCCCTCTAGCCTCCGCATGATGAGCGAGAGGTTCGTCGGGTCCCCCGACGTTGGGTATGTCCCTCACGCTTCCTTTCGCCGGAAGGAGGGGTGGAATGTGCCATGCTAAACTCGATGGGCGCGAGCGTGACACTTTCGGTGAGTTGTTATCGGGTAGTCCGAGTGGAGGCCCGAGCCCGTTCGCTAGGGGACGGCTAGCGGTCCCAGACGCACTCCAAAAGTAATGGAGGATTTTTCTAGTGGGTGCCGAGGCCGTTCATTTGGGCCTCGGTGGCTCGGTGCCTCCCTACGGTGGGATCCC